AAAATGATATGTTTATTTATTCTTATTATGATGGAGTGGCGAAACGTGGGCAAAATGGTGTAACATCATTGTTGCTCCACTAGTTAAATAAACATTTGCCACAGGGTACAAAAAACCTCTACATTTTGAGTGATGGGTGTTTTGGAAAAAATTAAAACTTTGCCAATATTTAGTTTTGGTATATAGTAGTACATGTACTTAAAAAACTAATCGTAAAATTCACGTTTTACCTATAAGAGGAACATTCCTATTCCTTTTTGCCAAATAATGCAAATTTCCATTTCCAAGAAAAACAATCTTGGTAGATATCCCTGAGGATTGGGATTGAGGTTATTGTGGATGTAAGGAAAATATCAAAACCTTTGTTTCTTGAAAAGCCGAAACAGGAAGACTTTTTTAATATAATAGACATGCTTAAGCATGTCATGACATGTGGATGATTCATTTTGTAAAACAGCTATAATGTGGAAAAAGTTTGCTCTTCTTTAGCCTCTGTGAATGTGCGCTTTATAAGTCAAGACAATAAAACTCGGATCCTAATTAAAATCACATTTGTTAAAAAACAAGCTTCTATATTAATGCATGTGGAATATCGAGTTTCTCTTCCTGAATATGATTGGGTCATTGTCGTTAAGCACAAGCTCAACACGGCATTGAAATCAAACCTGATGGGCTCGCAAAATCTGACGCAGTTTTCTATTTTGGTCCCACTTATTTGCATTTTTATTTGGAAAGCATTCAGTATCGACAGCGTGTACTCACGGATTGGACTTTGAAAGACTTTTGACTTTTGCCAGAGTTGGATTCCATTTCAAAAGACCCTTTGACGAAGTTGGTCAAGCCAGTGGTTTTCTTCAGTGTTGATAGTGCGGGATTGATTATCTAGATCTAGATCTAGACTCTCAAGGTATTTAAATTCATTTTTAATATTAATTCTTTATCAAAGTACAATATATTTATAGCAAGGCTTAAGGAAATAATTAACTGCATTGTGACTAATATTCAAGGAAGGACAGTTGATTTCTTCACAAGAAACATAGTTTTGATTACGCTAGAAAGATCTGTGCCTCGTTCTTTTCAGTTCAAATGGTTGATCAGTTTCCAACAGTGGTTAAGTATATCGATCCAGACGGCAAGATGGAGCTCGATGTTCGCCATCTCTTATAGAAGGATTAGGTATGGTTTGCTTCTCATGAACGCGCCAGCCAATATTTCACGTAAATTGTGAAATGTAAAGATAACGGATGTTGTACTTTGAAAAGAACTCTTATTTCTATATTATAATTAGCCAATTTCTGCCTCCATTTATTCCAATCTGTCAGTCAGAAGATAGCTTGAAAGCTGTAACCGTTTCGTGACCAGCAAGAATCGTTTCCTTTGTGTATTTTTTCTTACCGCCTACAATATTCAAAATACGTTTCCTTGATCATTGAAATCATTCAAGTTTCCACCTTACGATCTGTTTTGTCCCTCTATGCAATTAAGTTTGTCTCAGAGAATCTGTAAGCATTGTAACTTGTACTTTGTCTCCCAAGTTATTTTAAAAAAGCATGTCAGCATTACTCATTTCAGTTTTTTTAACCAAACGGCTATTACCCTTTCGCGAGTTGGACCTGTTTGCATTACCGCCAAAAACAAATAAGAGTTAGTGACCGCAATTGCGGTATAAGAGAACGCGACCTTTGCAGAATGGTTCGATGAGAACAAAATCGAAACGCGAGGCCTTTATATATCAAATGATGTCACTATTTCAGAAAAATTGGACTGCCTTATTCAAACTATATCAATTGACGATTATTTTAAACTTCCTTGGATGGACGAAGAATGAGACAAGTTCCTATGAAACACTTTGAATAAATTTAATATATAGAATAAGAGTAAAATAACTTTAATTTTTTTGGTTCAGAGAGGCCTGCAAGAAAAAACAACTAAAACAAAAGTGGAAATATCCAATAAGGTATTAAGTTCAAAATGGTAAAATTTAGAGGATTTTTTAGCAACACTAGAAAATTTTGAAAAAAAATTGAGAATTCTAGAGTATTTTCTTTTTATTTTATATGTTTCTACATTTATGGGGTTTGTATTGGGGTAAATAATGTCATTTTATATTTTAAATGACATGGATTTGCTAAAGCAAGCTTTTACAACCCGTTGCACTTTTAGGCGTCAAAGAGTTTTGCAGATCTTTAATATGCAGTTTTTAAGATTTTCAAAATTATACATTAGAAATAAAAAGATGAGTTAAAGAGATTTGATCAAGTTATTAACTTTTTGGAAGATAATAGAGGATTATAGAGAAGACTTTTTTTAAAAAAAGGACTTTAAAGGATTTTAGAGGAGATTTGGCTACCCTGTAGAGTTGTTGAGTTTATTGTTACTCAAGTGATTTATTAAAATATTCAATCCTGTTTCAAAAATTAAATCATATTTATTTATAATTTTGTGGTTTTAATTTTTGTTTACGCCTCTGACGATAAAATTTTGCTTTTTATAAATATAATGCTTATATAGAAACATTCTCAGATTTTTGCTTATGCCGCCAGGCGTTCTATAACAACAGCTAAATAAAATGTTTTTTGCTTGTTTGTTTTTAATTTCAATGGTTTCGCTCAGACCATTTCTTAAACAATGTTCAATACTTTTGTTAACATTTATTAAGCACTAACACGCTTGTTTGTTTTTCTCTATATTAAAATTACATATATTTGAAGTTGAAATTGAAATTACATACAATTGTATATTAAAAAGCATAAGCTGAAAATTATTCATTTCGCCTAATGTGGTTCAAGTTTCTGTTAGACAGATTATATTGAAAAGATGTTTTGTTTCTTCTAGTAAATTTAAAAGTTTTTCAATGTTGCGATTCAAACTTCTTATGTTGAGGTGGAGAATTACAATTTCATTTTTTCGCTTTCATTTTTTCTATTTGTTTAGGAAAATGATTTAAACAATCTATGCTCAGGTCAAAGCTTTCATCTGATGAGAAGCAGTTTGTTTCGTAAAAGTTAAAAACAAGATATTCAAAGTTATTAGTTATAGCCATGGTAATATTTAATGAAAATAAAAATTTTGCTTTTTAAGAATCCTTAACTAATTAATTATAAAGATAATTTTGTAAATAGTTAAAGACAATCAACTTTATCATACCTTATTGACACATTTTCGCCATCAGTTGTCTTTGCTTTACCTCCACAAACAATTCTTTTCAGATATAAACGGTGTTGAGACAGAAGTCTTCATTAATGAAAGTATCAGTTCATTTCAAGAAATACGATTCTTTCAATATTTTAATTTTATCTTTGCATTTTTGTAAGTTTAGTACAATTTCTCTTGGAGGGCCATCTTATTTTTGTCTAGTACGATGATATTCCAAGTTTGTGCAAGAAGAATGTTTGTACTTTTTCTTCGGTAATCCCCTCATGATTCTTTTTTGTTTTAAAGTTTTACACGTTACAAGTAAGACTGCTAGTTAGACCAAAATCAACCCTTTTAAACGATGGTCTGGATCTAAGATTCACCAGACTCAGACTCATTAAACTCGTTAACAAAATGTCTTTGTTACGGATTTTAAAACTGACCCAGACCCCATTCATGGTGGATCCATGGTAAAAAAAACAAACAAATGCAAAAACAGATTTTTTTTGTTATTGCTTTTATTTGGAAAACTCCCTATCTTTCAGAAGAATGAAATTTTTGATCACTCAATTTTTGTTCAAACAATTTTTGTTTTTAACAGGTTTTTAATGCAAACACATTAAAAACCTGTTTAAAACAATGAAATCGTCATCTCTTGTTAACACTTGTTCTAAGCATTGTACATGGCAACTACAACAGGTTGTCATTTTTTTTTAACTTATATAAAAATCTAAATAACCAATATCTGTGTTATTTAAGATATATCTACTATGTGTTAAAGTAGATATATTTACTTTGTGTTAAAATAGATATATCTACTATGTGTTAAAGTAGATATATCTACTATGTCTTAAAGTATTTATTTTTTATGTGTTTCTATTGTTTCATTCGTAGACTGCTCAATGAACATCTGTACATTTACACTGTATTCATTTTCTTCATTGTCTATTTTTTTGAACAAAGTAATCTTAGAACAACGATATCTCTGAAACCGCTGTTTATCTGTCTCTCTGTTAAACCTTCAAATATTCTGGAATTGTTTATTAGTGCCTGAAGCAGGATCTTCAATAGAAATATTTTTTATTATTTCTCATTGATATCAATTTTTAGTCATACTTTCGGATTATTTACAAATTTAGTATGAAAGCCAGTATGAAACAAAACAAAAATAAAAAATAACTCTGCTTCACTCTATCAATGTTGTCTTTAGGTGATAAAATTTAGAGCTTGATAGCTCATGAAGGGTATTTTTCAAGCAACAGTTGCTTTACATTAGAGTGTCTCAAAAAAATATCATATATTGAATTTTGATGAACGGAATACTGCATTCTGCATCATTTTAACCATGGAAACGAACAAAAAGAAAATTAAGTCTCTAGCTCTAGCGGAAGGTTATTTAGATCATTTTCCTTTTTTTTCAATATATATATTTTGAGTTAAAATTATATTTATTCAAACATAATTTTGAAAAAAGCATGGCCAATAATAGAAATTAGTGATGTGGCGTCTAATAACTCGAGCTAATTTACTATTAAATCACTTTTAAAATTTGTTTTCAACAAAAACTAAACTCTTTACTTTCCAAAACTCTTTGCTTACTAAAACTCAGGTATAAACTTGATTTTAAAATTTAGTCATTATTTTTTCATTGATAATAATCATTATTAAATAATAATGTGGAATCATTTAATATTAAATTAAAATAAGGTTAATATTATATTATCAAAGTAATAAACTTATTTATAATATATATTTAAATTAAACAATGGCAATACAATAATAATACTAAAAAAAATTTCCAATATAATGTGTATCCAACTATTCTGATTTTATTTTAAATGAAAAATAGTTGATTTTAGAAAATGCCTCTAGACAAAGAGCGCGGATTTCAGATAATTAACTCACATAAATCAGATAGCATTAACGCGTCGAAGATTACAAGGAAGCGAAGACAATTTAATTTCCTTGGGTTTCCTTTGCAGAGGTTTGCCCCCAATAGACTTCCCACAAATGGAGAAATGCTCAGAAGGTACTACTGGCTTAATCTCAATAAAAACACAAGGTAAATAGTAATTAACTAACATAATTAATGTAAATTAGTAACTAACTAAATTTTGAAACGTTTTAGTACCACACAGATCAACGTCAAAATTGGCTGCCCAGTTGCTTCTGGTAAGACTTATTTGCGATGTTCCAGATTTGCTGACGGAGTGGGCGGAAAGAACGCCAAGCAGTTAAATACAAACGTCTGTATTCTGAGGGAGCTTGTCAATTTTTAGGAACAAGCTGGGTTTAACGATACTTTCACTGTGACGAAACAAACTATAAAGAACAGAATTACCAAGAAAATTAAAGAGTATCACACTCTAAAAATGCTTAAAACACTAGATTTGCCTGAGGGCAGCTACAAAAAGAAGGTGGACAGCTTTTTGAAAGAACGAAGTGCGCTTTTTTTCTATTTAAAAATCAAACATTTACGATTTAATTAAAATTGATAAAAATAGGGATGACGAGGCTAAGAGTAAAGACATAAAAATTCGGAGGTATTGTCTTAGTAGGGCACGTCAAATTACAACTTTTTTTGGATTTAAGTGTTTGGCATTATGGAGATATTTTCTAAACTGTCCAAAAACACATCCTGGAAAATTTTATGAAGTTAAAATAGTTTCTTCATGAGCGATTTTAGATTTAAGGTGGGGTCCAAAGGCGTTCTGCGTAACATTTACTGCAGCGTTGTATTATAAATTCAGGACCCAGGTAGATTACATATAAAAAAATAAAAAGCAAAAAGACTGAAAGTTACTTAGAATTAAAGAAAAACAAAATAAAGTACTCTAAATCATAAATTTTTTTTTTGTCTATGCTAGATATTAATACTTTAACAAATTGCTTTTGTAAATTCTGGTCTAAATTTTATAAAAAAAATCTAATTTAAAATGTAGAAAATTTGTTATATCAGAGATCAGCAACAAGTGGATCGCGAGTCTCATGCTACTCAGTCATTTATATTCCGTGGCTCTCCAGTCTGTCCAAATTACATAATATTTTGATTTCAAACTATATTTCAAACATACTTAAACTGTAATCCTGCGGCTCTTTTTTTAAAATTATTTAAGAAAGATATATTTTAATTATTTTAGGAAAAACCTCACTACATAAAATAGGTTGCAGACGCCTGGGTTATATAATCGAATTTTTGTAAAATAGAAAACTATCCTAATTATTTCAGATAAGTTAAATTTACCCAATAAGTTAAATTTTAATAATGATTATTAAGAACCTTTGAAATAACTGTCAAAAGTTAAAATTATATAAAAGATTTCATAAAAAAAAAAAAGCTCTTAAAAATGGTCTTTTTATTTATTTAGAAATTATTTTAATAATGTTCAACCACGCGAGAAAATGACTAACTCAAAAATTTTTATACATTTTTGTTAAATTTTATTTTTAAATATACAAGTAGTTTTTAAATTATCAAAAAATATCATCATGTCTCACCATATTAACATTTAGACATAAAACTCTTTCTATGCTTTCTACTTAGAATTTTTGCTAAAATATGCTTATGACGTGCTTCCTTTCCAAAAAAAGTATGAGAAGCCATGGTAACAAGTTATACAGATCTCTCAACACTCTGTGAATGTGAAGGAAGATCTAAGAGGTCAATTTTTCTCTAGACAACAACTTTTCTGCAATCTCTTCATTAGTAAAATCTAGAGTTGTTGCTGGTTCATCTATGTCTTCATTAAAAATATTTTTGAGCTCATACCATATATGAGCAATAATGTTAGCTTCTGGAATTTTATTTATTCTGTTTATAGCTTGGCCATCTTTTTTACGATTTCTAATATCAAGTAATCTCTGTATTGCTATTGATCTTATATATATTTCTTCTCGCTTTAACATTGAGTACAAAATATTCTCAGGAAGTAAGCAAAAGGAATTAAACCTTAAGTTTGCTAAGCAAATATCTTGCACCTCTTTTCCTTGGAGCTTGATTTGGTTAATCATAAAATGTATAATTGATGGAGCTTCGTGTAACTTATTGCTCTTTTTATGGAGGAACTATGTAGGAACATAAACTTGGACACATAAGTTACCAAAATAATTAGTTCAGAATCAGGAACTAGTACTCGGACATATAAAGACATCAACCGTATTGCCAATGTTAACCAACGAGAATGATTAAGGGGACTAATTTTCCAACTTGAATATTTAACACTTATATTTCCAGTGGCAATTCCAATTCAGTATTCATATAAAAGCCTCTGATCACTACATAAATTTTCTAATTTTTCTAAAATTAAAATTGGAGACTTAATAACACCAAAATTAACAACTAAGTTAAGCTCATTATTATTATTTGCCATATTACCTATTGGTCCAGCAAAATGGTTCGGTAAATTCGTTGCTCCATGAATTTTTTTAAACAAAGATCTAAATGGAAGCTTATTTTGATTATATTCTGAAGTTTATATAGTCTGAGGTTTTCTTCCAAGTTTTTTTTCTAACTCCACAACCATTCCTGCTTTATGACCTGTGTTTGTTGAAGTATTGTCTACCAAAACTGCTTTTAGAGTGTTTAAAAAATCATACTCTTCAAGAACTTCATATAGACACTGAGCTTGCTTTTTCCTGCTGCTCTAACAAGAATTAAAACTTTGTGAATAAGATACTCCCCACTGTAAAGGTTAGGAAGAAGTTTTTTAGCCACAGTCATGTGATGTTCATTCTCTGTTGATCTCTTTAACACAACCTTACCATATTCTTTTTTTTATTTCTCTTATAACTAAAGTTTCATTATCAATTTTACCGTCAACACCAAGGCAAATAAACTCTCTGTTATTTTCAACAGATTTTAAGTCTGACAATAATTTAACTGACTTTTTTTGTCTATCTATTTTGGATTTGTCTAAAACTAAAGTTGATATTATTGCTGGATTAATAAACAGTTCTGATAGATCGAGCATAAGAGCAATTCCTAATGCAGCTCCAATCGAACTTCCTATATCGTTCCTGGTCAATTCAATAGCAAACTTTAGAAACTTCCAAAGATTGTAAATTCTTAATGGATTTCTTTCAGGTTATCATATCTAAAAGAAAAGTTATGAAGTTCATTAACAAAAATATTTAATATAAAAAAGTGATATGTTAAAAAAAAAAAAGTAAATTTAAAAAAATATAAAATAGTTAACCAAATTTCAATTTATTGTTTCATTACCTCACTAAAGCTAGAAATGACAGATTCTGAATCAGATTCTGGTAATACTATTTCTGGAAGTAAATTAAATTTTTCTTCTTGTAATGATTCTTCCACATTTTTATATTCAGTTTTATGTTTCTTTAAAGATTCTTTTCTAGACCATTCATAATTTATTGAGCCAAGTTGAAATGATCCTTTTTTTGACCTGACTTTTCTCTCTGGTCTTTTAAATAAACCTTTCTTTTACAGGAATCTAAATATTATTTGATAATATTGAACAACTGCAAATTAAATTTATAGTATTAAACTTTATCATACTAGTAATATACTTATGTTAATTTTATTTAAAAATACTTTTATTTTATTTATCTATTATTATAAAAAAAGATAGTACTTTTTTATCTGGACTAAATGTGCATAAAATATAAGTATCAGGACAATTGTCTTGACAACATTTTATATTTTTATCATCACAAAGAACAAATTTAAGATCACATGTGCAGGAACTGATATCAAAAAGCCTATCCTATTTTTTAAAAGTGTTTTTTCTGTTAATACTTTGCATTTACTTCGGTTAATTAACCTAGATATGTTTAAAAGTACTCCGACTTTTTTTTCTACACAATAAGTGGACATTAATGGTAGTCGAGTGTTAACTTTTTTCCATATCATGATTATTTTTTCAGCAAAAAGTTTTACAATTACGCTAATGCAATAACTTGGATAAGTATTGTTAAGGAAATAAAAATCTTGAATAATCTGTCTGTTTGTGGGTGGTTCTGTATTTGCAAGAGGGTTAGGACTTCCACAAAACTTGCTTTTTGTGCAATTTCGTGTTTTATGCTTATTTGAAAACATTATTTTTCGTCCTCCAAAATTTTATTTTTCACAATCAATTATAAGATTTGTTTACTTTGCGTAAGCGCGACATTCTTTAATTTGTATGAAAATGTTAGTGGTAAAGATGACCTAGCAAAAATTTTTTTAATTAAGTATATCAATATTTAAAATCATTTTAGCTCAACCTAAACTTCATTAAAACAAATTTTTTTTTTCAAAGCACATTTTTTTCACATAATAATCAAATCTCTTTATTACCAAATCTCTGATTCCACCTGCCTTATTGTCTTAGAGGAGATATAGTTAAGTTAGGCAACGTTGATAAGATATTCAGTGAAAATATTCATAGAGCACAGGAAAAACTTTTAAAAATGTCAGAGAAGATCCAAAGGCATGCGGAAAAAAGTAAGAAAAAAGAAAGTAACTATTTGGAAGGAGACTTTTTAGGCACAGATAGTGCTTAATCACTCAATCAAAGTGAGAAATCAAATAATCACTCAATTAAAGTAAGAAAACTACATAATCTAGTACTTTTAATTTTAATGTCTTCTAAATAATTTTTCTAAAATGCTGTTTTTACTAAAAAAATTAGTCAAATGTGTTTTGTTCAATTAAATAACCACCCAAAAAATAAAAAAACAGTAAAATATTTATAAAAAATAGTAATTTCATGCACCCAAACATTAATGTTTTACACAAAAAATACAGAAAACGCTGCCCAATGAAATTCTCCAGGACCTAAGAAAAGTATGGTCTTATGATGAAAATGCTTTGCAGCCACGATACTAAAGTGTCAAAATGAGGAAGAGCCAGTGAAAAGCAAAGACTCCAATCAACAGGAGCTCTTGATGTAATAATGTATTATGTATAAAAACAAGAACAAAAATTTTTCTTGATGTATTAATGTATTAAGTAAACGAATATAAGTTTTTAATGCGCGCGTTTTTAATTTTGTTTTTTACATAAAAAATATGCCTATATTGTTTATGTAAAAAATTTATATTGTAATGTAAAAAACTTAGTTAACGATTACTGTAATAGTTCCTTATGAAGTATACTACAGGTTTGCGTTTAATTATCCGGTAAATAAACTTTTATGTCATTTATGCATCGCACTCGTAATGCGACGCATTACGAGTGCGATGCATAAATGACATAAATGACATAAAGCGACGCATAATTGCCCATGTCCAATGACTGGTTTTGGTAGATATTATCCAACTTTCTAGAACGTTTGTCCCTGACATTTGTTGACTGTTATCTCAAATGATAGTCGAACAGGAAACTGATGTCAACGCAGGCAAAACGGTAGGGTCTGGTCGTTTTGGAATATTGTAATCCCTGGGACTAAAACGAATCTGCCTTTGTAGCTGCCAGTCGTAATTCTGCAGTAAATTGAATGTTTCTCAAGCTGTTTGATGGTAAGTCTCATTCCATTGCACAGTTTGTTTTTATCTCAATAACATCACAATTGTGCTGAATTTTAATTCATACGGCGGATACCCAGGCGGAGTAATGCTGTTGAGGAAATCTAGCTTAAAATGCGTTCTGTCGGCATTTTTCTCACATTTAGCTTCGTCGATACTTTTGTAATTTTTTTTCACTCCAGGGTAATAGCCATAAATAAATAATAGCCATCGTTGTTTATTGCTAGAGAATCAATTTTGTTTAAAGTTAGAATGGCTTTTTCTGATAATGTATCTTTTTGTGTAATATTCTTTCTCCATAGACGTCGTTTAAGAGATTGTGGCTAAGGCGCTGATGTTGTCTATTTTTCCCTCATCGTTTTATACTATTTCGTCATTGCTAACTTGCACTTTAAATTCAGCCCATCCAGATGCGTTAGAATGCGCTTGCGTGTTTCGTGTTAATGTGAAGGTTTTGAAATGACGCCATAAAGGCGATCGCTTGATGTTGATGCCTCCACGATTGATTTTTTGGATGCTTTTGGAAATACAGTAGGCACTTGTCAAAAGTCGCCACGAAGAACAACAATTTTGACCACAAAAGGTATTTTAGTTTTTATAATGTCGAGTAACAAAGTATCTACTGCCTCTATTCCAAGTCGAGGTACCATTGATATCTCGTCCTGAATAATATCATCGATATGCCGAAGAAAATTGGCTTATTTACTTTGGCTTTTGAGCAGCGATGTTCAATTAACTGCCGTTAGATGCACTGGCAAGTTGAATGCATAATGCACTGTTTGTCCAAGTAGCAGCATAGTTGCAGCAATACCTGATTACGAAACAGTTAGAAACTTTTGAAAGAAAGCTTTGTCCAGCGAAAATGTGAGTCATGGTTGCGTATAGGTATATTTTGCCCGAACCGCCTAGCCCATCAATGAAGAAGCATCGTTCGTCACCATTGATGCATGCAATAACAGCATATGCAGCTGTTTTTTGTTCTTTATTCAGAGTCGAGTACAGCTCGCCAGCCTATTGGTTACATTCTGCGATGGTTATTGTGGTTTCATCAGGCGTTGGCAAAGGATATTTCGGAGCTAGTATAATAGTAGCGATATCTTGGACACAATTAAAGACAATTCGTCCAGCATTAGCATATGCGCATGCTTTGCTTTCTTGTTCTGATATCGTACGGTGTCTGTAATCGTACGACATGGCAGTTTTGAACTCTTCTTAAAACGGAGGAGCATCATTGGTTTCGCCGAAACAAATTATGTAAGCAAACAACGGTCGCATTTCTGATGGCATTTGAAGGAAAGATGCTACTTGTAAACTGTAACGATAATGTTTGTCGTCTATCAGGTATCTAGCTGCCCATGCTGCATTTTTAAACATTGGATAGGTTGCTCCATTGACTGTTTGTAAATCCTCGAATTATTAAGTTCCACGAGTGTATAGTAGCATGACCCTTAGGTAGTAGCGCTCTTCTTCTTCTGGACTGACCGTATACATACGTCCGATTTCTTTTTGGCCTTGTTTTCGTGGTGTCCATTACGTCGACATTTTAATGAAAACAAAATATTTCGGTATTTTGAAATACAAAAACTGTCCCGAATCGATTGTATTGCTTTTTTGGGCTTCTCCTTCTTTAAAACAGTTTTTCAAGCGCTCGTTTAATTGCAATCAAGCGGTTAAAGTGCATTAGCTTTTTCAATTGTGCTAGCTTCGTTACCTGGTTAGAAGTAAACAGTTTGAAATTCTGGTAGATGTACGGCTAGGCGATAAATAGTATGTGATTGGATATAAGTCAGTCACCCTAACCCTGGCTGAATATTTGCATCTAAATGAGCCGAAATTTCGTCAATTACAGGTTGTCGCCAACGCTGTTGCTTTTGTTGAATATATATCGATACTTTGTCAGGTCCCTTGTAGATATATTTGTATAGGTATTAAATTGATGTGATGATAGCACAACTTTTGATGTCAATGTTACTTTGCTAGTAAGTATTTGTTGTATGGCACCACCCATCGATTATAGGCTTGTCCATATTTTATGTCAATGCAGTGACCTGTATCCTTTCTATGGTATTCTGGATAGCCATTTGTATCCAGAGAAGTCATATCCTTGAATGTCTTGGAGAATCGTTTCGAGCATACGCTATGGATCATGCATGGTGCATTAGCATTTGTTGTACCGCAGATTCCGTGCATCCTCATAGTCGCTACAATTTCGTGCAGACAGTTATCTGACCCTGGATCTGGGATTTCAGCACTGATAATAAAATTGGCGTTTTCGGGAATTCTTATATTGTCGTTGGCATCCATCTGGGATAATACTAAATGACAGTGAGGTAAGCCGCGCTTTTGAAATTCAATAACACCCATGTATGCAATGCCACGGCCAAGAATTTCATCTTTAAAATTTAATCCAGTATTGATTTTAATTCAATATGGAATACTCTCACCACTACATCTGATCTGTCGGATGGTGATTGATGTGGTAAAAGATTTTCTGTAATTTCTATCCATCTTGGATTGCACGTCATAATAAAAATCATAATAAAAAAATCTGGTTTTCCATATTTTGCTACGATAGCCATTACGTCTTGATAAGATTGTATCATCGTTCTTGGACTCCTTGGAAATATTGAAGGTAATATAATCCTCCTTTAGACTTGGATGTCTCTAGCTTTATTCGTTGCTAAATGATCTGCTTGCACGAGATAATGTTCGCTTGCAATTCAGTTTGATGTAGTCGGTTGTAATTTAGGCAATTTTGTTCTAATCTAACGTATGCGTCCACTATTTACTTATGAAAGAGTTTGCCAGCGCGTAAAAGTGAGTTGTACTCATTTGGTCTAATTGCCAGTCGATAACTATAATATTCCGTTTGTGTAATGCGAGCGCGTTGTTGATGGGATGGCGCTTTAATCAAATTTAGATGCCACTTAGTTTCACCTTTTGAAAAGAGGGGCGGATAGGAGAGTGAATCACAACGAGAAATAATATCGTCAATAAATTGTTTTTGCCCATTTTTGTAGTTAATTGCAAACCTGCAATAGGTGGCAATTCATTGTTTTCCAGCACAAATATTGCTGCTACTTCGTCTGTGATTGGCATGTTGTAATGTCGTCGATCCAAAGCGGGTCCGCTGTCAAAAACTATATGAACCTGCGGCCCTGCACGTCCCTCCTCATTATTATTCATTACCGGAACCGGAACAGAAAATAAACGCAAACCGGAACATGAAGCAAAACTGGAACTGAAAATCAATAATATATATTGTTTTTTAAAGTTAGTTTTAGTTTAAGTAAAATATTAATTTAATAAAAATAACTAATAAAAAAATCCAACAATTGGAGGATTTTCTCGAAAAAATAGAAGTTTTTCCAAATTTTCTAGATAGATTCTGTTTTTGTTTGTTTGAAAGAATATCTCCAACTGTAGAAAACAGTCTTTTAACTCTGTTGATCTTGGAGGTGGTGTGAGGTACTTTTTTGCCATCTTAGTTAACGCTAACTTGATTTTGGAATTTACATTTTTTTAATAACTTTTCCAAAATTCAAGGCATTGCGAAGTTATTGGACTAAAAAATCATTCAACCCTTCTTTTATCATTTTGGAAATTGATCATGCATTCGGTTCTATTTGAGTATGAGTTTGCGCAATAATTTTTGACATTATATGACATATATAAACAAATGATGCGTTTTTTTTATTCTCGCCAAACAGCATTTGAGTTGCAGGAGCTAATTCATCTAGAGATTCAAAATTGTCCATTCGGGACATGACAACGTGTTTAGCTTTTTGCAAAGCACCTTGAGATCTGAAAAAATACCATTTGTATCTTGAATCAATTAGAGTAGTAACTAATTAATGTTCTGTGTAGTGCTTCCAATACCGGTATTACCGGTACCGGAATACCGGTATTACCGGACATTTTTAAGTACCGAAATACCGGTATTGGTTTGGCTCAATACCGGTATTAAAAATATATGTAGAGGGCTTATGATATAGCAGGTGCTATCGCCCTCTTTACGTGAAACACTAAAGTAAATGAAATACTTAAAACTTTCAACAACGCTTCCGGTAGGAAAAAGATAGCTAGATGAGAAAAGACGTGTTTAAATTGTCTAAAACAAGTATTCTACGTACTTTATACTTAATATCTAGTTGCCAGCTCACTTCCAACTAAGTTTGGTAGGAAATGAGCTAGCAACTAGCCAGCGAACAGATAGCGTTTAAGACGTATTAAATACGTAGAATACTTGTTTTAGACGATTTAAACACGTCTTTTGTCATCTAGCTATCTTTTTCTTACCGGAAGCGTTGTTTGATCGTGACTGGAAGTTTTAAGTATTCCATTTACTTTCGTGTTTTCATTAAATAATGAAGCACCAATTTAAAATATTATCATTACGTCCCTCGCTTTAATGTTTGAATTTTGCACTAACGTAAATATGAAAAGTTTTGGTAATGTAGAAAGTGGGGCGTTTAAGTAACTGTGATCAACAGTTGTGCATTAGGCATGGGATTCAACTAGGTAATCAAGATATTTTGTACAAAAAAATCATCAATTTCTGCAAAAAAAACTTGAAAGTAATATGCAATAACAGAGAAAGTGACGAGGAAATACTGATGACACAAACATAACCAAAAATGAAGAAGACTTTTCCGGCGGGTTTCAAGTTGTAATGAGTGAAGAGAATGACTCTATTGAACTGACTGATGATTTGCAGCCGTTATTCAAAAAGGTGGGCACCGTTGTGAAATTTTTATTTCGCCGTTCTCCGACAAAAAATGATCAAAATTCAAAAACGCAGGTTAGAAAAATTTGATAAAGATACCCCACTAATACTTGGATCCTGGGTTAGCTGGGTTAGCTTGTACACAGTACTCGAACGATTTGTATAATTAAAAGAATGCATTCACGAGTCACTTTTTGCCCTTGAGTCCAACGTTGAGGTAACTAATAATGAGTCCGATGCAATATTAGCTGTTAACTTATGTCTTGCGCCAGTAAAACTGGCTGTGGAAACATTGTGCCAAAATCATGCAACTCTGTTGTGTGCCGATATAACGTTTTCATGATAGATAACCTTTGAGAAATCAATTTAGCTGTAAAGTTATTTTGGTGCAACAATTCAATGAGCAACGTACTCTTTTTCCAGCATACAACATTTTTTGCACAAGGGACATCAACGTTACAAGAATTTGGATCAAGATCTATCTTTTGAGCACCATAGCAAATTAGCCATTGTAAATACCATTACTCGACTGAAAGATCGGCTCAATCAGAAAGGGTATAGTCCTCTCCCTTTCACCAGCGTTTTTTCCGATAGTGATTCTGTGGACAACGCTGTAAACTTGTCATTGAAAAAAAAGCTTGACTTAGCAATTTTGAAAAGTAAGAAATGTAACAACAAGGGAAAATTGAATGTTTCGAATAATTTATCAAAAATTATATGTATTGAAAAAGGATATTTTGAAGAAGGAGGAAATCGTTGTACATATTTGCAAAATTCCTACCATTACTTGAAAACTGTGAAGCCAACAAAATTAGATGACCTTTTGAAGATGATGCTCTGAACGCCCTATGTTTTTTACGGGCTCATTTTACAAAGCAGAAAAAAGCGAAAAATGAAAAAGTCAGTCGTTTTGATATAAAATAAATAAGCTGATTGAATCAATAAAATTTTTACTATTAACTTGAGATTTTATTTAGATTATGATAAATTTAAGAATAAAGTTTAATACCGGTATTATACCGGTATTGTAATTATTTAGTACCGATATACCGGTATTGAAAAATGGTATCGGTATTGGAAGCACTAGTTCTGTGTTTTAAATTGCAGAAAAACGTTTTTCTATTGCATTTTTCATAGCAATATTCAATTCCTGAAAACTGATATCGTTAGAGGTTGATTCCAAAGCTTTAATTAACTTTAATTAACTTTGATCGAACACTTTCTAGATTTTATAAAATTAGGATAAAAATTGGTTTTTTGTAATATTTAATATATATATATATATATATATATATATATAATATATATATATATATATATATATATATATATATATATATATATATATATATATATATATATATATATATATATATATAATATATATATATATATATATATATATATATATATATATATATATATACATATATATATATATATATATATATATATACCTATATATATACATATATGTATATATATATATATATATATATATATATATATATATATATATATATATATATATATATATATATGTATATATATATGTATATATATATATATATATATATATATATATATATATATATATATATATATATATATATATATATATATATATATATATATATATATATATATATATATATATATATATATATATATAAGGGCAGGCCAAAATCTAAAAATTACACGTGGCTGCATAAAAAGTTGTTCTTTACCATATAGAAATTATTATATAAAAAAAAAAATTTTCTATGATGTTTCTAAGTACTGCCGCATTTTATTTAAAGATTCGCGTTTTTACGCAAAAATATTACTAGAAAAACTTAGGATTGGAACATATTTAGCATCTATTCCAATGTTTAAAATACTTTAATTATCACACAATATATATTTTATATTTAAAAAACGAATCCATTATTTTATATAACCACCACCAGAAAAACTTAGGATTGGGACATATTTAGCATCTATTCCAATGTTTAAAATGCTTTAATTATCACACAATATATATTTTATATTTAAAAAACGAATCCATTATTTTATATAACCAGATTTTTTTTGTGCTATCTCGTGCAGTGATAAATGGTATAACAGAAATTGTTATTTGAATTGAACAGTCAGAGAATAATTTCTTCTTATTGAAATTACCAACAAGTTTTCTATGATTTTCAACAACTTCTATTATTTCGTTTCATACTGACTCATCCTAAAATTAGCCAAACATTCTGTAAAAAAAATCTGAATAAAACTTTAAATACTTTTTTAAAATACCTTTCTCTCACCTTTGCGAGTATCTGAAGATAATTTGAACATAACTTGATAACTCGCTCTGCAACATCGTTTGTAACCTTGACTGTTTTGATAAAATGTTTTATCTTTAAAAAGTTTCCATCTTTCTCCCATTATGAAAGAAGAAGATTAAGCCATTTATCTTTATCGTTTAAGATATGTATGAGCAACCAAGATCTTTTCCCAATATACGGCAATATCTCTAAGTTCTTGTGAATAGATGGAAGATAAGGTTTTTTAGAGTTGATAGCAAGTGGCTTTCCTACATCTATCAATTTTAACGCAATGTTAGCTTTTTCTTTAGCAGAAACCTTATTTGAAAAGAGACTGAAACCTCCTCAGTTAGGTAACATGAGTGCCTGTTAAGAACTTCTTGAGGTTTTTCAGCTGCATTAGAGAAGCCTGAGATCTGACCTAGAGCGCCTAAATCATTGTATAAATGAATATCGTTGGCAATGAATTGGTGCATCAGAGCCTTTTGTTGCTTCTAGCCAAGCTATAACATAAAAAACTGAGCTCAAAGTCAAAAAGATTTTTAACTTTGCTATATCAGAATCGAGTATAACTTCTTTAAAAATGAACATCTTCGGTGCATTCAACAAATATGACATCCATCTGGCATGATGATTTGCTCCACAAGTTATCTAAAAGATAAAGTGTTAACTCTGCAGCTTCCTTGTAATCACCTCGGTGATGCTTACATTTTACTTGTTTCTCAAAGAACACACGAGTTTTGTCTGCTTTCGTTAGTGGAGCCTTGTCTGCGCAAACCCATTCTTGTTGAAAATCTTCGAAATCTATATTATAATTAGCTTTTTTTTCTTTTTTAAATAAAGAGCTCCAAAATGTTCCCAAGATCAATTCTAAAATGTGATAGCAACAAGCCAGTCAAAGAAGAGTTTTCATTGATTTATAACCCTCTAAAAGAGTTGTAGCTCCATTCCTAACTCTTGTATTACATGCAGTCGTATCAAAAACCTGGGCTACAATGTTGGCAATGAGATTCCATTACTCGAAGTCATCCAAGATTCCTTTGCAAATAGCAAGTCCTGTACTAGACTGTATAGATTTCATTGATAATATTTTTCCTTCAACACAATTAGGAAAGCCATTGACCAAAACAGTTAAATACTCAAACTTTTGCCCTGAGATTTGTTTT